ATTCGCTATAAATAAAAGGAAAATAAACTGAATCTTCGGTGTGATTATATTTTTCTACATAACAGAAAGTTGTCAAACTCTTAATACTTACTGTTAATTTCCATTATTCCAGTTGGGAAAATATTTGTAATATTGTATTCTTACTATATTTAACGTAGTACTTGATTACATTTTTTATATCTTAGTCGGCTTTTTGTCAATTCTATCTATATATTTGGCCACAATTCGATATAATTATTCTTTTAAACGGTTTTCCTGTTTTCGTACCAAATTCTTCGATCTAATGAATATCGGAAGATACATTCATGTATATATAGATTATTATGTAGAATATATTTCAAATAACGACTATTACATTTCAATTAATTACTTCTTTTAACTCGTGGTAAAAAATAAATTTTTGAATATTTATAAAAGGAATGTACTATAATTGTGGGAGCATATTTTAAATAATTTTTTAATTGCCCCGGTAGATCTCAAATATTAATGTATTTAATGCTTTTACGTTTACAACATTTTAAAATATAGCTTACTTTAAGCTTAATTAAAAGACAAATTAAATTTATAGTTTAATTTCTATATTTGTTTATTATTTTGGTAGGGAAAAGATGTGCTACATTAAATAAATAGTTAAAAATAAAACGTAATAAGGGGTGTAATACGTTATTATGCAAAGTTTTAAGGAGTAATTTTTTCACAAAATATAAATGAATGTTCTAAAAAATAATTACATAGAGAAATACTTAAAATATGTAAATTCGTTAATTGGTGTAATATATTTACTGACATTATTAAAATATATTTACTTTGTAAATGTTAGAGAGACCTGCAATAACTTTTCCAAATACTACGTGTTTCCCATCTACTGTTTTCAACTGTCTGAAAGTAAGATTAAATTTGGAATTGCTTGTATTTTCATTTTCGCTACACATGGATAAAATGCCGAGACCAGCATGTCGTAAGTTATAATTTTCATTCTCAAATGATTCTCCGTATATAGAGATTCCTCCACTTCCGTTGAATTTTGTAACATCTCCACCTTGACACCAGTAGCCCGAAACAATTCGATGAAACGGTGTGTTTCTATTAAGAAATAAATATTTTATTCATTATATTTCATTTATTGCAACTTCATAATATTTATATTGTATTTAAAATGTAATTTTATCTTCGTCCTAGTAAACAATTTTCCTGAAGACATACATTCTTTCAAGAAGTTATCTTATTTCTGTTGTTTTATTAAGGGGTCATTCTAGTGTGACGACCGAAAAATTAAGCAGTTTTCAATGATTATTTTTTCAGTGAATACAAAATTATAAGTATAAAACTTTTTATGGTTTATTAAGATATTATAAACAATATAATATAATATTAAAAGTATTAAAATTAATTTTTTCAAAAAAAGATGTCTCGATGGCGCAGGTGATTTATTTTATCTCGTATACTTATCTGAAACAAAACTTGGGGTATACATACATAAGGAGAAGAATTTTCATGCTCTGGGGTTCAGTCTACAGAGCAGTCTCGCGTATAGATTTTACTCTAAGAGTGGAAACTTTGATATTCATTATCAGCAAGATCGGAATATATTCCCTTTCGAAGCATTGCACTATGTTACTAATTGTAAGTACGTTATACGTACATAAGTATCAAATGGACAATCGTGTCTTGTAAGACTCCCCTGCGTACTCGGGTAAATTCCGAAAAGGATATTCTTGCCCAGGCAGGAATTGATTTGTATTCAACATTGTAATTTGTAACTTTTATTATATTCGAACATAGTTTAGTTGAATTATATTCGCTTACTTCAATTGAAAAACCCATCCTGAGTAATATCAGTAGCGTAACCAAGGAAAATCCAAAACGACATACCTTTACCGCTCAAGGTATATCATTTAATTGCAACATACGAGGTCTACCTACTTACATTTAACCTAGTGGCTCCCGGTGTTACTCATATACTGCTTCGTCCACGAACACTCGTTTTAGTGGCTTCCGGCGTTAGCCATACGTATGTCCGTTCGTCCACGAAAGCTAACCTAATAACTCTCAGCGTTAGCCATACACCGGTTTGTCCACAACCTCTTATTCTAGTGACTCGCGGTGTTAGCCACACACTGGTTCGTCCACAAAAACTATTCTAAAAGCTCTCGGTGTTAGCCATACGTCAGTCCGTCCGTAAACTCTTATCCTTTGGCTCCCGGTGTTAGCCCTACATCGGTGCGTTTAACTTTCCCAGCCATAATACCATTTTAACCATAAAACCCAGACTCCGCACGCCGTGCTCTGCACCCCGGGCCTCGCAGCGCGTAACACTTTCCATTAAATTTTAATGATAATAAATATCCTCGAAATATGCTTATTGTTAGTTACTTGTACGATAAACCATTATATCCACGACACAGTCCCGCAAAATTTGCGCATGTTCGAGGTACAACATCATCATAAAGTTCAAATTGGATATATCCTAACTTCTGTTTATCTCCTTTGGATTCAATTTGAATTTCAAAGAAACATCGAGTTCGAATTGATGGATTTAATTTTTTCAACATTGATAAATCTTTAACCATGCAATTATCTTGCAACGATGGTGGTCCAATAACTTGCATTGCCGGTTCTTGTTGATACCTGCATAATTAAAAATGTGTTATGTTAGCATACATTACATGTAAAACAATTATAATATAATGTATAATTTGTTTTATTTTGTACATTTTATATCTTTATTTAATCAATGAATTTGCCTTCTTATATTGCCGTAGGTAGATACTTTACCAAGCCTTGCATATTTGGAAACTTTAACATTAGTATAAATGAAAAGCAAATTTTATCATTGGTAGCCTAAAATATTCACGTAAAGAAATTATATTTTAAAAAGTAGTTCAATTTTACGTTTAATTATAGCGATATAAGGAAAAGAAACAAACATTTTATGACGTATATTCGAAAATATACAGTCTTTCGATAGTAAAATAGTAACACTTTGCCTTTGTCTATGCTGCGTTTTCTTTTTTGCTTCCTTCCAACTCTGTATTAACTCTCCAGCAGGGTAGTAACTACCAACACTACGAATTTTTTGTAGCAATATTTTATTATTTTTCATATGTGATTTATTAATTATATCCGGATTTGGAAGATTTGATGTATATTTAATCTTTGGTAACCAACAATCAACGTTTCCCTATAATTCAAGTGCAATAGAAATAAATTAACTATTTATATTGACATATCGTAAGCTTTTAACTACATTAAACAAAAACAAAATTACAATTTAGTTTTATTTTTGGAAAGTGCATTTTTTATTACACTATAATATTGAAATTTATTACTGTAATGACAAATTCACTGTTGTAAAAACGACAAGAAGCAATAGCGCAGTATTAAAAGAATGACAAAATGTTGAGATGAAAAAGAAATGAAATAGTAGAATATGACAGTAAATCAACAATAAAAAGTAACGATAAACAAAAATATTGTTGATTACAAAATTTCTCCTGCTTACACCCAGTCGCACAATTATGTTCATCCGTCTTAATAAATCCATGTTGTCTCTGTCTAGCTGCTGTGTTCGATTCATATCAATGATCATATTACGCTTTTTATAATAAGTGTCTACTTCAAATTTTGGTGGTTTATTATCAACTTTAGCTACAGCTTGAGCAATCCTTCGTTTATATTTTCTGTACGTTTTTAGGTCCATGGTTTCCTTGTGCTTTTAATGGTTATTTTTCATTTCGTGACATTATTTTATTATAATTTATTTAGTTTATTAGGTCGTTCGGAAAGTTCTGTCGGATTTCCTCGCCTGAACTCAAATAATTATATTTCCACCAAAAATTAACATATGCATTCAAAATAAATACCATTACAATTGATACACTACGGTTAATGTTTCACTAATTTATTTATGCCGTCTACAAAACGTAGGCAAGACAGAGAAAATGGATAAGTGAGTTCCGTTCATTAACGAATGCTTCGTGTCTCTATTTACTCCATCCATGGTTCTGTGCAGCGGTAACTCTTTGCGGTCCTATATCGAGTCTGACTCGACACAGGAAATTTTGCCTTCAGATATCGTACAACGATAAATTATAAACGATAACGAACCATTTTTTAATGCTTTAATATTATACTGACACTTAATATTTTGTAACTAATATTACGCTGAAACATTGAAATAAAGGCAAACTACACAGTGCTGCCCGACAGTGGCCAAATGAGTACGGAGTAACTGGATTCTTCAAACCGCAAAGAGGTAAAGACCATTTCCTTGACAGAATTGTTACCTACGACGAAAATTGGCTACTTTATGATAATCGAAAGAAACCTGGGCAGTGGTTGGATCTTAACGAACCACCTAGACACTTTGCAAAATTTAAAGCACATTTGAAAAAGATAATGCTATCTGTTTGGTGGTCTCCTGACGGAATTATTCACTATAATTTTTTGAAAAAATGCGGAAACGATTATGGTAAATGCATACTGCAACGAACTTAGCGAAATGCATCAAATGTTGTCAATTATTCGTACAGCACTAGTCAACAGAAGAGATCTGATTCTTTTGCATGATAATGTCGGATTACACGTATTATTAATTACAGTGCAAAAGTTAAACGATTTGGGACATGAGACTCTACAATATCCGCTCACACAGATTATCATCTGTTCAAACATTTTCATCATTTTTCCAA